CCCCGTCAAAATTTTTGCTGCGCGCTTCGCGCGCAGCAATTTCTGAACCCCTTGTTTTAAGTTCCTGGCTACGGCCCTGTACTTGCTTTCTCTTCTCCAAAACCTCTCCCTGTAGAGCCTCTCTTTCTCTCAAAAATTGATGATAAGTGATCACACAAATCTCTCAGTTTAACTCCCTGTCTCTCCTCCAGTCCTCAAGCAGGAACAAAGAACTGATACACTTGATTGAAGGCATTCCATTGACTGGTGATAGTTATATAGTTAATACATGTAGATTTAATCATTACAAGTAATTTGGTTGTCTTCTAGTTTTAAATTAATAAAAGCTGAGTTTAGTTACATGTACAATGGATATATAGGCTCATTATACAAGTGCTTCAAATTAATGCATTTCATGTTTAGTTAGTTACAATGCCACCTCTCTTTCTCTCTAAAAAGGGTCTCTTTCTCTCAAAAAAGGAGATTAGAATCATTACAAGTAATTTGCTTGTCTTCTAGTTTTACATTTAAGTAAAGGCTGAGTTTTAGTTACATGTATATATAGGCTGATTGCAAGTACTTTAATTTATAATTTACAGTTTGTTAACTGAAATACTTCTCTCTCTTTCTCTCTAAAAAAGAATCCCTTTCTCTCTAAAAAAGAATCTCTTTCTCTCTAAAAAAGAATCCCTTTCTCTCTAAAAAAAGAATCTCTTTCTCTCTAAAAAAGAATCCCTTTCCTCAAAAGAAGTTAATTTCCATATCAATCGACATCCATTCTCCTCCTCAAAGTCTTCTCTGCCCTGTTTGTCTCGTGGCTCCTGGTGTAGCTGGTATAGAAGTTTAATAGTATAAAGGCATCAGCTCTGGAATGTTCTTGATGCAGCCTCAGGACACAAGGAAATGTAGCAAAAGACTAAATTATTCCACGACGAATTTTGACGAAACAATCTGTAGTATCAAGCATGCTCCTCCATAGAATAATCTGTCGCTCCTCCATACAGGAAGTCAGGAACAATCTTTTACATGTAAATTTTGAATTTTAACTTATAGTTTAAAATTCAAATTTATAATTGTTTTATTATATGCTCTGCTCTAGAGTGACAAGTGCATACTAGCAAATACAGTTAACACTGATGACACATAGCAAACACCAATAACACAAGAAACTGATGAGCACTTGTAGATTAACACAAGGAAAAGCTTGGAGATCAGTTGTGATATGCCGTGTCTTAAATCCCAGGTAGACACTACAGCACTCACCAGCCCTCATGCCACCAGTGCCCACCAGGCCACCAGTATCAACCATACCCACTAGCATTAACTCATCACTCGGTAAACAAGGCACACACTAGCCACAGAAACAAGTGAAACCAGCAATCACATGTGTAAGGAAACTGTATAGGTAAACCGCCCTGCCACCACCTCTCCCTGCGGGAATTATGCTTGACCGATCAAGTAGCCTCACAGCTTACAGCTCTCACTAGCCCACTTGACCCATAACCAGTGTGCACCTTGCTACCTTCCTAACACATGTATCTTAAAGGCTCATGTCTCAAGTGGAAATTAAATGGGGGATGCTCATTTTATGCTCAGAAATAAGTTTTATAGTTTTTGATAAACATTTTAATTCTAGTTTGTTAGAATACCTCTCTTTCTTTCTCTCTAAAAAATCTCTTTCTCTCAAAAAAGTAGAGTAGAATCATTACAAGTAATTTGTTTGCCTTCTAGTTTTACATTTAAGGAAAAGCTGAGTTTTAGTTACATGCATATATAGGCTGATTGCAAGTACTTTAATTTATAATTTACATTTTATTTCTAGTTTGTTAAAAAACTTCCCTCTCTTTCTCTCTAAAAAAGAATCTCTTTCTCTCCAAAAAAGAATCCCTTTCTCTCTAAAAAAATCTCTCTCTCTCTCAAAAGAAGTTGGGTTTCTATATCAGGTGACAGCCGTTCTTTTCCTCTTCAAAGTCCTCTCTCCTCCATTTTTCTAGTGGCTCCTGATGTAAATGGTATAGATATCTAATAGTATTAAGGTATCAGCTCTGGAATGTTCTTGATGCAGCTTCAGGACACAAGAAAATGTAGTAAAAGACGAAATTATTCCATGACGAATCTTGCCTCCATAAAAATAATGATCTTGATATGAAGTGAAAGTCTCCTCTTAGATTTCTGCTTTCCTCCCCACTCTCTCTCTCTCTGTCTCTCTCAAAAATTAGTGAATATTTTTTAGCTTTACATGTACAAAATTGGCACAGTAGTTTTACATGCATTTTTTATAATATATTCTTAGTTTTACATGTGCAGTTTGATGTAAATAGAAACTTTAACTTTTACATGTACTTACTTAAGCACCCATTTTCTCAATCAAAAAGTAATTATAGTATAATACATTAACAATGAGGAAAGGTAGCATTGGAGTATTAGAAATTAGAAGGAATTAAGAAAAGAGGAATAAAGAAAAGATAGAAAAGGAGGAGGAGAGATAATACTAACCCTTGTTTTTATAATATTAAGAAGGTTGTAGACAACGATTATAGGCTATTGTCTTCAAGCTCTTTTTTTATTAAATATGTGTACCATTATTACCTACAGCTACAAGAAGGCATGCTGTATTTATGCAGCTACCTGACCTCTCTTGAATGCTGCAAACAGCAGTCAGTTTTGACTAACTGTTGACTGACCTGACACACACACATACATACACTATACTAGCAATACATGAATTGAATCCCTACATCCCAGCACACACCAGTCAACATATCTCAAGTAATATTACCTCGTGAGAAAGATCCTGTCAAGAATGAAAAGCTGGACACACTAATGAGTGTGTGTATGTGGGCTGGGCACAGACCCACACACACACACCCACTAACGTGTTACTGCAATCAATGCACCAGCTTTCCATTCTTGACAGGATCTCCCTCACAAATATTACCAGAAACATACTGCCTAGTGTATGACGGGACAACCTAACAAGCATATCAGGCCAGTCGGTAATAATGGGAAATGTACTTACACTACAGGGTTCTTTACATTACAACATATGCGCGATGCTTCGTGTAACAAGCCCTTCCCTAATGGAATTATACGCATGCAAATGGGACATACATATAATGACATGCAAAGATTGTATGTGTGCGTTACTAGCCAGGTCTGGTCGGCCAGCCCAGCTAGTATTCAAATATTGACTTGCTAAATGATCCATGAGAATCCATCCTGCGATATCCCCGAGTGAATTCCTCCATGAATCCTTTGAACTTTCATGAGATTTTGAATGTTCCGGACTTCAAGGGTTTGATGGGAACGTACAAGTCCTGTCAACTTGAAACACATACTTGACGGGAACGTACGAGTCTTTTCGATGTCTTGAAACACGTACTTGTACAGCTCCTAAAATTAAATAAAAAGAAAACAAGTTAACATGAGCAGTTGTATACACAAATAACAATAGAGAGTAGTGCTATAGCAACTACAAGCAACAACTAATAAAAAAAAGTGGCTATTAACATTGACAAACAAGAGGCTATACAACAAGTTAAACAACAACAACTAGTGAGAACAAGAGGCTATAATAACTAATGGCTCCTATAATAACTACATGTACACAGTATCATGTAAAGATACATGGCTCTTAAATAAAACAAAATCCTCACTTGCTATCATAGCTATTGCTTCCCCAATTGATTAGTCCAGTCATTGGGTGGGCGTGGCCTCCAAAAAATGGCGGGAACTTTAAAAATCCCGTGGTAGCATAAATAGCACAGGATTTGCATGTCCCCTGTAAAAAGAAGAAAAATAAGCAAAACGAATGAAAAATAATAAGAAGAAGAGCAGAAAAAAGAGAGAGAAACTGTAGGGTGGCTAACCATAGCAGGTGTAGCAACCATCGGAAAAAGAGGTCACAATCCATTGTGACCTTTTAGAAAAGATCCAGGGATTGTTGCTGGGTATAGATAAGATGGGCCAACTGCTGGTAACCTTTAAAAAAATATATAAATAAAGGAGTGTTTGAAAGACATGACTAACCATAGCAGCCATTGAAAGAAGAGGTCACAACCAGCCACGAGCTTTTAGAGAGCCAACTGCTGGTATCCTGTAAGAAAAGAGAAAATAAAAATGAAGGAATGATTAAAAGAGAAAGAGGGGAGAGAGAAGGAGACTGGCCATGACTAACTGTAGCAGTACCTCTTGACTAGGAGAGGGAGAGCTCTTGAAGACTGCCCCTTTGCTGCCAAAAAATGGCAGAAATGAAAGGCAGCTCGTTTTATAGCCGCTAGGGCTTTCCCGGGAAAGGGCCTTACTGCGCAAATCTCATTGGCCAGATCTATGCTCCACCCACTGCTTAATCAGCATGAGCTGGCAGTTTCAACTTTTGAGTAAATTTGGTGAAAACTTACTCCAGATCACGTTAGCTCAAATCAAAGGCGCGGCTAGTTATTAAACTTACTTTCCTTGAATGCAGACAATGTATTGGCAGAGATTTGTAGTTTTAAAAATTCACAAAAAATCCAATTGTGATCAGAATCTGCTCAAACTTTCTACACAACATGGAAACATATATATGCATTAGTTAACGAAAAAAGCATACATGATTAACCCCAATTATATCAATTATTAGCAAGTTAATACAAGAGACTGCAAGGACCACTTTACTTTAGCAGCTAAGCATTGCAAAACATAGACAAAAATAAATTGATAATGAAAATTGATAAAATTGTGTAAAATCACAAAAATGCTGGATATCCTTCTTAAAATGACACATAAAGAAGAGTTCCAATAGTTTACTCCTGATAATGCCACATAGTTTTCATCATTCTCCTCTAGTGACAATACTGAGAGACTAAAAAAGAAAGAATAATGTTGCGTCTTTATAAAGCAAGCATTAGTAAAAGTCTATTGTGGGTTGTACTTAAGTATATGCAAGTACAAGTACAATATCATAAGTACATGTACTAGTAGACATTACGGCATTATGATAAAAATAAAGCTATTAACAAACAATTGAGGTTCATACACTTCACCCTCCTTTCTCTCTCACTGTCAATGAAATACAAATATAGCATTTGTTCATTATCTCTGTGGCGTTCTTCTTCAATAGGTTCTACTGTATTAGTCTATAAAACCATGTCTACCTTAGTCTTGCTAGACAGACCATTCCCTAGCAGCCTAAAGTCGTTTGGGTTTAAAGACTGTAGGCTATTGGGAAAAGTCTGAATAACTACTAGCTGTGTTAATTAGTAAAGATTACAAATAATTCTAAATTATGTAGTCCAATAGCTAATGTTATGTTTCAGTCCAGGTATATCAAATAATACATTAGGAATAACATAATCACTGTTAGATCCTCCTCTCTCTTCTCCAGCCATCACCTCTAACAAACCATGTCTCTTCAGATAAGACTGACTATCCACACTGAACTCATGAGGAACTAATGAAGAATTAGCACTAGGGAAGGAGAGGAGGAGGAGGGAGGAGCTGTGGTGGTGGTTGTATGATGTTCTTGGTTAGGTATTTCTGTGATATGCTATCAGCAATGTTCCACTGGTCATCAATAGTAGTGTCAGTGGATTGGATAGAAGAGACATCAGTAGTACACCTGGACACAAGAGAGGAGAGGAAAGGTGTAAGTGAAGCTCATGAACAAGAGTCAACTAACAATTCCTGATTTACATTTTTATGACATGTATAATGTATATGACAGGCTTTCAAGAAACTTCAAAATTTCTTTAAAAATCCAATTTACCATGTACTATAGTACAGGGGCTTTGATCTGATTTTTGAGTAACTTTTAAAATTCGTAAAAATAAGAATCAGTTCAAACTTTCAGCACAACATAAGTACATGTACATGTATATGCACACACATGGATCAGAAAATGCTGTTAAGCATGAACTGCACTTACTGTATTTTAGGAAACAGCAGTAATGAAGTATCAGTGTATTTCCTGTCAGTCAATGATGAAGTGGGTGGAGTCAAAGGAGGAGGAGAAGCATCCAAAAAACTTTGTATACGTCTCTATAAAAACAACAAAACAATAACAACAGTGTTACATGTACATGTATTAATAATAATAAATAATAAATTATTTGCATGTACATGCACATTGTAGCATGTTCTTACTCCACAAAAGCATCACATTTGCTGTCGTCATAGCAACTAAAAGCCACGCCCCCAGACCCGTCACTGAAGCTACCAAAACTCATCGTCCTATCAGCTTTTGTTGCCATGGAAACAGTATCGGAGAGCATCTTTAAAGTGCAAGGAGGAGAGAGTGTTGAGCCACACCCAGAACTGGCTTGTGTTGCTTTGGAAACACCAGAACCTTTCTTATTAAAGTCAGACACTTTAATGCTCTGATTGCAAGTGGGTGTGTCATTAAAAAGTAGACTCCACCCAGTGTTGGTTACTATAGTAACAGTACTCTTAGGCATCATAATTTTAGGTGCCATAATCAATGATTTTGATGAGTCAGCACTTTTGTGGTGATTATTGGTTGCCATGGTGATAGTGGGTGTGGCTTTGCCAGAGACAGTTGGTGTAGTGTCATTAGTGATGTATTGATGAGGTTTATCATCAAATAGCTCTCTTGCCTACAGTACATGTATAAAAATGAATAGAAAATAAAATATTAGAATTTTATGTGCATGTACATGTACATACATGTACATGTATTATGCTGATTAATTTTTTAAAAAGGCTCTAAAACTCATGTTTCATAAAAAATGGCTCGGAAACAAAAAGTTACATGTACATGTAGATGTAAAGCTGGGGATGACTCTGATAAATAATAATAATAATAATAATAATAAATAAATACCTGTCTATAAACATTATAATAGCTCCTGTTCTACAAGTGATTGACGCCTTTTCTCCTCCTCCTCCTCTTTCTGATTCCCTTCACTTAAACTTAAGACACTAACACAAGACAGATCACTGTCTCTTTTAACAACAGTGGGAGGACCCTGTACCAAGAGCAGACAATAATAAAATAAAATAAAAAAGTATACATGTACATGTACAATGTATATATAAGTTGTACATTAATAAGTATCAGAAAATGTAATAAAAATTGGGAGTGATTTCGGAGCTATTTTTCAGAAAAACCATGGGCTATAGTACAAAGTAATTTTTGAAAATTGGCCGATTTTTAAAATGGCCACAACTCAAAATTTTCAGTCGGAATTAGCTCAAACTTTCTACAGAGCATATGGACATCAATATGTATCAGAAAATGTAATAAAAATTTGGGGTGATTTCGGAGCCATTTTTTGGAAAAAACAATGGGCTATATAGCCTTGGGTATTTTCCCAAAATTTGGAGTTTTATTGGTATCAGCTCAAACTTTCTACAGAGCATAAGGACATCAATATGCATCAGAAAATGCAATAAAAATTTGGGGTGACTTCGGAGCCATTTTTTTGGAAAAAACCATGGGCTATAGCCTTGGGTATTTTTCCTAAATTTGGAGTTTAAAAAATGGTCATAAGTCGAGAAGTTTAAATCGGAATCAGCTCAAACTTTCAAAACAGCATAAGGACATCAATATGTATCAGAAAATGTAATAAAAATTGGGGATAATTTTGGAGCCATTTTTTGGGAAAATCATGGACTTAAGGAGGAGTTTCGAGACGCACTGTGTCTGCAGTATGGGTGGTGACCATCAGGACTTCCACTGACCTGTGCCTGTGGTGATCCATTCTCAATAGATCACTCTCTAATTTGTGTTCACGGTGGCTTAATTAACTTAAGACATAACGATGTGCGAGACCTCTCTGCTTCCCTGATGAAGGATGTCTGTCCGAATGTCGTCAAGGAACCGGTACTACAACCCTTAACTGGGGAAACCTTGCGATATCGGACAGCATCCACCAATGATGAAGCTAGACT